CTATTGTGGCGTGGCTTGAGTGTCGATATTGAAGAACATCTAGCTTCTGGTACAGATGCCTGTGTCAATAAGGCGACTGCAGAGAATGGCTAGGAACACAAGATGAAGCAGGTTTGAAAAGAATTCTGATCACATGTAGTGGAGATGCCCAGTAGTTGTTGAATTTGGGGCCAAGCACTCCTGTCTGGATTGGAGTCACCAGCACCAGGATGGCCTTGGACTCAGAATTCTTCTGCCTTGGCCTCCCAAATACCAAGATTACCGGTGATGCCACCACACCCGCCTGGCACTTCCCTTTGAAAGGGAAGGAAACCACACCCACCTATAATACTAATCTGAGGCCCCAAATCAAAGTCACAGCCCTGGGGACTTCTGGAACAGACATTTACTTCCTCCCAGATCTTGAGGCCCGGAGTCTGAGATGGAGGTGTCAGCCGGGCTGGTTTCCTGTGCAGGCCTCTCTCCTTGCTGGGCCCCATGTGTTCTCTGCTCTGCCCATGTGTGCATCTGTGCAATCAGCTCTTCTTATGAACACAGGAGTCAATCTGATGAACTCACTTTTCTACACTCTTCGACCCAGCAATCCCAACTAGGAATTTATCACCCTAAGTAAACTAAACCATATCTTAAACTATACCTTTTTATTCTTTTGAGATAGGATCCTACCATGTAGTTCACACTGGTCTTGAATTCATGGTGAGCCTCCTGCCTCAGCCTCCTGAGCGCTGGGATCTCAGGCATGTACCACGACACCTAGCTACTCCTTTTTTTAGAAAAATTTCCCAGATCCCATTTTGGGTTTTTGCTTGTTTTGTGTGTATCCATGCTTACACATCCCTGAACGGGCTTGCTTATTTATATTCTAGTGTGGCACCTGTAAGTAGAGACGTTCATTAACTCAACATAAATTTTTAAAAAGTTGGTATTTGCTTATCCTATGGTGTTCAAGGGTTTAAAACAATGAATCACATAGACAGATTCATCCTCAATAGGGTTTGGTTCCCCTGAAGAAGTAAATAGTGTCAGGCAGAAAGCGAGACAGGTAGATTTCCATTTGTGAGTTTGCATAGATGACACGAGGTAAAACAGCCTGAATTTGCAGCTGTTCAAGGATAACAGCAGAGGCTATCTCTAATTTTATGACCTCGTTTCTTCCCTGGAAATGCACAAAAATGCTAGCAAACACTAACATGCTAATGTTTCTGCAGATTAATGAGCATAATAAAATTTATATTCCCTTTTACTATTAGCTTAAAATGATTACATTCCAGGCTGGATATTTAGCTCAGTGGTTCCAGCACCTGCCTCACAAGCACAAGGGCCCAAATTCGATTTTCGGTACAAAAAAAAAAAAAAAATTATATTCTGAGGCAGAAGGACTGCAAGGACTGCAAGGTCCGGCCCAGCCCAGCCCAGCCCATGCAACTCAACAACCTAGCATGACCCAGTCAGGAACTTTTAAGGACACAAAGAGAAATCTATGGGTGCAGCTCAGCCTAGATTTCATCCCCAAGTATTGGGGGACACACACACACTTGCACACACACACCCCAAAACCCCAAAACTACATTTCATCATAATTCAGTGCTGCGCAGCCAATTCAAAAAGTCAACAAGAGGGGCTGGGTATTTAGCTCAGTAGTTCTGCCACCTGCCTCACAAGCACAAGGACCTGAGTTTGATCCCAGGTACTAAAAAGAAAAAAACAAAAACAAAAAGTCAACAAAAGTTTTACCAAGTGGCAGTGGAAAATGAGGCCTTTTGTTCGAGTTGAATAATTTTCCAAAAGTTTTATTCTTTTGATGATGAGAATACAGTACAGCCTATCTTTATTTTCCACTGGCATAAAACATTAAACAATTGCCTTGATTACATTATGTGAAAAGGAAACCAAACAATATTATTACAGGAATTTTGCATTTTAGTCATCAGTTTTAGTCTGTGTAAGTGCAACTTAATTTTTTTAATGCAACTTTAACTACTTCAAGACCAGGTTGGACTACATAGCAAGACCCTGATTTCAGAAAGGTGGAGGCAGGTGGGGAAGAGATTTTAAAACTTTTATTTTAATTTTGACTTTGAATAAGCCAGGCCATGACCAATAATAGTTGTCAATTTATATAATCAACGTATGATTGAAAATAGAGAAATTAATTTCCAACTCCCTAGAGGGGGAGATCACCCATACAGATCATCAGTACTGGGATGTATGTTGTAATAGGTGCAATGAGGCACTAGGTGGCTCTTTCCTTTTTAAATAGAACTAAGGTCTACGAAAGTATAGTTAAGGAACAAAATATCCCAAGTAGGTAGAACCTTTAATCAAAATAGTAAACCATGATTTGCAACAATGGCCTCTCACTCAGAATAATTTGGAGCAATGATTAAGACTCAGACCGTAGCTAGGTGTGGTACTGCACGCCTGTAATCCCAGGACATGGGAGGCTGAGGCAAGAGGATCACCAAGAGGTTAAAGTTAGCCTGAGCTACATAGTGAGACCCTGTCTCAAAAAAAATAAAAAATAAAATAAAATAAAATAAAATAAAATAAAAAGAGCCTAAAAAACTGCAAAGCATGTATGGGCAAGCAATCTGTTGACAGATAAAGGGCGGTATTATATATTTTTAAGAACGTGTGTCTTGGAAGGGCATGGACTTCAAAGTTTTCATAATTTAAGGCCATTTAGGTCCCCAACTTTTACACTTTTTCTTCTTAGTTTACACCTTTACATTTAAGGACAAATAGCACATTTGGGCATTATAACATTAAATATTGCTTTCCAGTTTCCTGGATCATAGATGTCTCAGAACATCCAAAGGAAATATCAAAACCAAGTTAACTTCATTTTAGCCATTTGGGAAAAGAAGGGAGGAAAAAAAAAAGCATCATGTTTATTTAAATTAAGAACATATTTAAATCTTTAAACCAAAGTACTATTTAGACAAACACTGTTTCTTTTCATAGCATCTTCCTGGAGACAGAAAGAAATAGTGTGCTCCAGAGCTGACTAATTTTTTTCTGCTTCCAGAGAAAAAGACTAAAGAGTTAATTTGAAGTGAAATTTACATTTTTGGTTTTCATTTTTAAGAGGTGAACTGCTGAGGGTACAGAACCAAGTTTGTCATGAGAATAAAAGCCCCAGGGAAAGATTTTCAAACGATTAGTCTAAATTATGAGCCCGAGCAGTTACCCCAAATTGATTTACTGACTTCTCAGAAAATGACATTTAACCTACAATTGGTAAAGTCAAAAAGCTTTTCCTTCTCCTTTTTTGTGTTCCTGTAATAATTTTGCTGTATAAGAAATTACCAAGATTGCACAGATCAACAGTTTGCAGAGAAGAACCAGACAAGTATACATGATCATTCAGACCAAATGAAACAGGAAAAATAATCCAGTTCTTAGAAACACCACTAAGTCCCCAAAATGACTCTTTCAGAGAGAAAATTACTCTTAAAAGAGGATCTTACACCTGTTACTGAGAACACATTTAGTAATATTTCTAAGTGTAAAAGACACCATTTTTCTTACTGCTGTTGTTGTCTTGAGCCAATAATGATTGCGTGGCACGTAAGGTCGCCGCAGTATTCTAATTTTGTTTGTTTGTTTGTTTCCAGACAGGGAGCCCCATCTGAAAACTTACAAAATTGAGAGAAATCAAGTACCAAAATTAGAAGAGACCGTTGTGTAAACGAGTGCTTTTGCACAGCTTAAATCACTTTAATCTTCAAGCTTTCGGTTTTAAAATGTTAATTCCAAAATCACTTGTCTAAATTTGTCTCTGAATACATTCACTTTTTAAAAGATAACAAAATCACAACCAAAGCCCGAACAAACCAGACGTAAAACAAGTGTTTTCCAAAAGTGAACGAACAGAATTTGGTTGGAAAAATGAAACCCGCATTTCAGTTGCTCGGATCACGAAAACTCAAAGAAGGGGGCCACACCAAGGGTCCCCGACGCTGCAGTCCACAAAAGGGTGGTCAACCAATTTTTTAAATGTTATTAATACACGTCTGCAGTGCATGAATGCATTCATCGTGGGGAGCTGGTACCGTACCTTTCACTCCTCCGCCATCTCTAGGTCCCTTCCCTTTTGCAAATCTCTGCTGATCTGCTTAGTGGTTTCCATCGGGACCCAGAGCCTAAGGAGAATCCCATAACCGGATCACAAAAGAGTAGAGTTCAAGAGTCTAGGGAGGTGGCCCGAGTAACCACCCCAAACTGACTTACAGACTTCTCAGAAAACGACTGTGCAGTTTGGGTTGTCTTCTCGCCTGCATATTCGTTAAAACTTGTTATGGGGTTAAGAATCGGTAGGCTCGGAACGGGATGGCGTTTTTCACCTGAAACCTGGCTGCTCATTTCTTCCCCGCTCGCCCCAGGCGGGCGAGGAGGGGCGTGGCCGGGCCGGTGGGCGTGGCGACCTTCTACCAACCGTGCGGCCCGAGCGCCGCGGATATA